TTAAAAACATTTCAAACAGTGTTTTCTCCAAGTTTAATGTGTGCAATATTTAAAAAGGAAGCTTGTTAAACATGAATCCCTAAATCTCATTCCCAAAGATTCTTTTGTCTTTCCTCTTAAATCATTTCCTCTTCTTCCTTCCTGTTATTAGAATTACTTTTGCAGGCAGAACAGATTTAGAAAAAAATGAGACATACTAGGGTCTTGGGACTCCACTGGTGATTATTATAGAGAAAAACTTGACACAGGTGAAGTAGATCTGTCCTTCTCTCCTCTACCTTCACTTCCTTCTTTCTTTCAATACATACTTATTGTGTGTCCATTAAATTTTAGATATTGTTCTAGGTTCTGGGATTAAACTGGTCAACAAGATGTACAAAGACATTGCTGTCACAGCACTTAGACTCCTGTTGGGGGAAGAACAGAAATAGACAAACTTTGAGATTACTTCAGTTATTGTTAAGTGTTATAAGGAAAATAAAACAGGCTAATCCAATAGAGAATGACTGAGGAGGGGGCTAGTTAAAGAATGTGGTCCACAAGAAGATGATATGTGACGTGATGAATGAATAACCAGAAGGAACCAAATAAGCAAAAAACCTTGGGGAAGAGCTTTCCAGAAAGAGAGAAGAGCATGTGCAAAGGTCTTGAGGCAGATTGAGTGTTTACAGATCAGCAGGAGAGCCAGCATATCTGGAACTTGAGAGCAGCCAGGTCAAACTCATCTGCCATGGACAAAAGGATAGTGATATCTTGAAATTACCCCTGTGGGAAGGTGGAAAAATTCTCCTTGCTATCGAAGAATTAAGGAAGATTAAGTATTTTAATAAATGCTATATATCTAAAAAAAAAACACCTTATCCTGTTAAAAGTGACCACATTATTGCAACTCCTCACCCATGAAATATCTTTTTCTGATTTTGGGGGTTTGATGCTTTGTGGTAACAGGGTTTCATCATCACTGGCAGGTCATGTTTTATAATACCTGAGCTTTGAAAATTAGCTCACTTTGAATTTCCTTGAGATTCAAATGATTTAGTATTCATTTGAGTCATTCATTCACAACTCAAATGTCATAAAATAGGGTCAAACTTGCATTGGAGAATTTATATACTTTTCTAAAGGAGGAATAGTTACCCCATAATTACAAAATAAGTTAGATGGCAGGCATCCAAATTCTGGTTTTGAATTATTTTTCAATGTTTGCGTTGATTTGTCTTATCATTCCAACTGGATAGTTACCAATTGATAGGAACAGTCCTATTACCACTGAGCAATTTTGATTTGTCTGAATAAGTAAGTGCCTAGGAAAGAAAAGAAGCAAGAACAAGTATGCTAGTGGTTTGCGTAAAATCCATCCCTGGGGGCTACTTCTGAAGCCAGGAGATAGCTGCTGAGCTGTAGACCCTATTGATCACTGCCCTTTCATAAGCCATTTCAGTAAAGGGCAGCCTGGGTGATAGTGGGCCTTCTGTGATAAGAGCCTGTCCTCTGGAAATGGGAATTAGCTCACAGTTCCATTTCACAGGGTCTACCATATGGCAAATGACCTCATCTACCCAGACCAGATCCAGACTGGAAACTGAATTGCATTCCATGTTCCCTTCCATTCTGCTGTAAGACTTGGAGCTGTTATAAGACTTGGAGCTTTCCTCTGAGGATTGCTTGATTTAATGTGTGTGTGTTAGCTTGGTTATACATTATGTTGCAGTTCTAAATGTGGAAGGTTCCCAAAGCCATGAAAATCAGCTTCTTCACTGGTACCTAAGCAATCTTGTTATCATTGGCTTCCAAAAATTGGGACCAAGAGAGTAATGTTAGAATACAGATAACAGTACCTCAAGAGACAGACCAGTAACACGATGGAAAGGAGTTGGTGGAACATTTGTGGGAAGAGGTCTGGGGAAAGGGACTGGGAAAGAAGAGAGACTCTAACAGAAAATGCCTTCATTATGACAAGAAACTCCATGTAGTCTTCATTTAGTGATACTGAAATTACAATTGCAGCTCACATAGTTTGTAAAAGAGGAAGTAGAGAATATGACCATGAAAAGTGATATTTTAAGCTTCAACACATGCTGCTCATCACTGACTTGACTTGCAGCATATCTTTCAACAAAAGCACATAGTGATTTAATCTCGACAGTAATTCAGTCTACAGCCATATGAGACAAAACTATCATTGCAGACGGGCTGTAATTTGTGAAATTCAGGTGCTGGGGATTAGGACCACCTGTTGAATTTAATCTTGGAGATGGTAATGTTAATAACATCATGTAACTGAACATAAACACTACATATTTATCAGTCTTTGGGGCCTCCAGCTAAGGAGGTGTGAACATTTTCCTAAATAGTATCTGTAACTCTCTCCAGACCCTGTAAATCAATGGCAAATAAAAAAGGCTGTTGGAATTCTGATTCAATATGCAGCAGCATATGGCTTGGTGGTCATCACATCCAGCATCTCCCATCATTTTTCTGAGGCCTGATGTGAGAGTAAAAAAAAAAAAATGCAATCTGAGTATCATCTAGCAATATAATAAGAAGAGAAAAGCTTTCCTTTCTTATCCTCCTCTGTGTTAATTGGAAACAAATTCCTAGCAATATTCTCACAAATGACTTGCATCTCTGCCTATGCAAGACTATAGGAAGATCTCAAATAAACCTAATTAAACAGCAACTTTTGGAGAGAATATAAACAATGTTTTACACATGCACCTTCATATGGCCATCCGTAAGGGAGCTCTGCCCAATTTCCAGCTACCTAAATAGTACCAGTAAAAAGAATCCGTTAATGCATTTTGAGGAGTTTACATTTACTTCAGTGGACAATTGGTGATAATGCCTAAGCAGAAGACATAGATTTTTAAGATATGCTTTTTGTTCCTTTGCTTGTGGTGCTGTGAACTCCCTTAAAACCTTTGGGTATAGAATTTTGTGAGATGTTGGTGTTCCATGGAATAATTTCATTGATATTCATAAGTATCTCCAAAGACCTTCTTCTACTAGGAATGCCAATGACTTTCACACAATATCATTCATATAGCTCTTCACAACTTGTGACACCCTTTTACTACATATCATTTAATTTCCCACGTAGAGTATCAACATTTTCCACCCAAATTGAAAAGGACTGTTGTTTGTTTCAATAAAATAAGGTTCTGATAAACAAAAATTGAAATCAAATACATTTGTTTCAGAAAACTTGTTTTAAACATAAGCATTAGGGTATAATACTCTACATTAAGCTATCAGCATTCGTAGCTGGTGTTTGTCCAGCAGAAGAACACAGGAAGAAAAGTATTGGAACTACCTTCCCAAAGCTGATCAAAACTTTCAGCAAATTTACCTTCGGATGCTGCCATTTATCAAAGCTTTACAAGCGTTAGTCATTTCCACCAAACAATAGCCATGGAAATCCATGAGCTCAATATATCCATCATACACCAGTTATGCATAAACACCACGGCCATCCACAGTGAGAAGCTAATGTCTAAACTTTCCTAGAACTCCAGCCCTTATTGGTTGCTTGCGCATGCAGATACAAAGCATGTAATCAATCAACAGCTAAGAGAGGAAATGAAAGCTGTAATTGTAAAATTGATAGCCCTCTGCTTTTGGATTTTAAGTCTACTAACACCCCCACCCCTCAACCCCTGCTTCTACCAGAAATAAATAAATAAATAATCACTTCCTGATGAAACTGATTCCTCCTTTTTGATTCCCTGAATTCTTCCCATTGCCAATTCCACTTTTTCAAATAACCTTTCTGGGAAGGGATCCTTCCAGGGAAGTCATCTTTCTCATTTCTGCACCCTACAGTACTGTTTATATCTAGCATTTATTATACATTTGTATCTATCAGTTTATCTATCTACACACATTTCATGGTATATTGTTTTGTCCTCAGGTATTTAAAGATCCGTATGGCTGGGTCCTGCCTTAAATTCTTTTATACCTTTCAAATCCTTAGCATTATGCATCAAACAGGTGTGTGGCAATATTCTGTATGCCACTTTTTAAAAGTTTGATTTTTTCATGTATGCTTAGAGCGACCTTTTCACACGAAAGGAGCATCTACTAAATACTACTTCAGTTCACAACCATAAAATTTAGTAAAATAAAAAGAATAATTGGGAGACTTCAAGAAATTCTCTAGCTTTATAAAGCAGATAGAGTGGAATTGTGTTTTAAGAAAAACATATGAGCCTCAAATAATGAGGGATACATTTAAACTGTATCAAAGTATCTTCAGAATCAGCAAATTTGATTAGGATTCTCCCAGAGGCTTCGCACACTGAAACCAGATATTTATGATTCCAGGGAAAGGAGGCTCAATTTTAAAAAAAATCATCTTATTAATTATTAGCCAAGCCATGCAGCAGCTTCCCGGAAGGCAGAGGAAGACAGGCTCACAACGATGAGTTTCAAACCAATGGAAGCTGAGTTTGTGCCTCAAGTCTTCCATGCCTACCTGGGCACCGCTCCCCAGGGCTGGGGGAAGTCAGCCCAAAGCAATGCCCTGGAGAGATCAGAGGGGCACCTCGGATCCCGAGCAGTGGCCGCGGGCTGGCTGTGCTCACCCTCTGGTTCCGGGTCAGAGGAACGCTCAGGCTGGTACCCGCGCCATCCCCAGTTTCCTCCCACCGGGGAGCGACTCGGCTTTCAAACCCGAGGGTTGGGGTTCGGGAACCGGACCTCCATCTGCAGCTGCAATTTTGGGGATTAGGGAGTTCTAGTTCCAAGGTCGATTTCTGCTGGGAAATTAGCTTTGGGGTCCACTCACCTCACCCCTATTTTCTACCAAACTTTATGTCTTTCTTCAAATAAGAATTCATACCAAGTTGGGACTAGCCCACCCTACCCCAGCGGGTCCACTCCCCCTCCAGCCTCCGAACGGCACCTACTCACGGCGCCTCCCAGCCCCGGGAAAGGGAGAAGGCTCAGGTGTGCGGGATCCCCAGGCAGAGCGGCGAGCGGGCTGGCGGGCATGCTGTCACCTTGTGGTCCGCCACGCCGAGGTATCCGTCCAGCGGCCGCGGTCCCGCGGGAAACCCGGGGCGCGGCTGGGGGCTGCTCTCCGCCGCCGGCTGCGAGCTGCCAGTGGCCGACGCCTGCTGCTGTTGCTGCTGCTGCTGCGGGGGCCGTTCCTTCTGGCCGCCGAGGCTGCTGTACACGAGCAACAAGCTGGTGCACATGGTGGTGAGCGCTAAACACACTGCCAGACCATGGCGCTGCGGGCGGGCGGGAGAGAGAAGAGGAGAGCGGCTGAGCGCAGACACTGGAGGAGCGCGCCCAGCAGGGACACCTGCGTCGTGGTCACACTAGCCGGGGAGACCCGGGGAGGGGGTGCCTGGGCCCCAGCCCAGCCGCACGCAGCTGGGAACGAGAAGGCACTGTCCCCTCGCACACCACAAGGGATGCTCGGGGCGCGTCGCTGCTCTCGGCCGCCGCCTCCCAGATCTCTCGGTAGAGGGCAGGTGGTGCACTGTCCCCGGGTGCGGGAGGGAGCGCGCCGGGGCGGAGGGCAGTGGTGGGTTTGCACTCTGGGGAAGGGTCGGTCTGCTCCAGCCAAGCTACTGGAATCTTGAGTCCTTACACCCTTCCTTTCCTGGGGCCCTGGGGCTCTACCTCGCTAATCCTCGCAAGTTTGAAAATCCAAGAAAACGAAGAAAGTCTGCAAAGGTCCCCCCTCTCCGTCCCTCTTAGTTTTTAGCAGGCTGTTGCTTTTGGGCACCTCGGTCCCTGGAGCAATCTGCCCACTCCTCCACCGCTCCTGCAGCTCTCCGCCATCCCCTCAGACCTCTCGCCGGAGATCTAGGAGGGGAGGCAACCCGAGTTCCATCCTGGCTCTGGGATTCCGAGCAAGGCAGAGCTGGAGAATCGGGAGGGAACGCGGAGCGGGTAGAAAGTTGTCCCTTTGTAACAGGCGACCTCGCGGCCCAGGATTAGGCGTCCTGGAGTCTCCCCGGTGCGTCCCACGGACCCTGAGCCCGGGGATCCCCCTCTTTGCCCAGTGGAGTTGCCACAACTGACTCACCATCAGGGTCTTCATTTTGGGCACCTCTTTTGTGCAGAATCCTCAGGCTCGCGCGTCCGGGGCCACTTTTTCCTGGAGGGTTTCCATGATGGGTGATGGGGCGGAGGCGGCTCTGATTTTCGCCCGGCAGCCTGCCGCGGCAGATCGCTCGCGGGAGCCACGGGACCCGGGAAGAGCCGCTGTGGCAGAGATTAGAGACAGAATTAAAACTGAACCGGACCCTCGTAGTCTCTCAGTGATCTACACAACTGCCGCCTGCCGCCGCCTGCTGGGTCCTAAAGACCTCTGCATCCCCCTCCCCGCCCCCAAATAATAATCTTTTCAGTAGTGAAATTTCTGGGGAGAGAGAGTTAACAGAGCCAGTACACCCACTTCTCGGTCCGCGGGCTTATATATCTTTAAAGAAGTCATCAAGTAATAAAGGAGAACCTGATTGGATTCTGAACGCGATAGCCATTTCAAAATTTGCAAACTAAATGTTCTGTTTTGTGATGTTGATGGAAACAAGTCAACCACCCAAATGTCAATAACTCTAGTTATAGCGTTTGCATTTATGTTCATAGCATAGAGAAATCTAGCACGAAATTATTTTTCTTAAAAAATTATTTATTATTTTGTTTTTCGATTGTTCACTTTCTAATTTTCTCTTCCCTCTGAATTTTACTTTTTCAGATCCAGTTACTCTCAAGCAATCTTTAGATCACAATATTTCATCTCAATTATTTCATTCATTATTTGTATTAAATAATACAACTATATTTCTACCTGACCTTCGAGTTTCCCTGTGTTCATCTAAATGATCTTAAAGTTTTAAAAACATTCAGCACGTCACAGCTACGTGATTAACTTGACCTGTAGATTCTTCCTAATTTGGATGAAGAATTTCTGCCTGCTAGAGATAAAACTGCTTATGGCTTATTTCATAATCCTAAGGTCTTCAGTGCTTTCCGTTGGTCTTCTGTGCTGACGGCACATAATTTCACATGCAGAACTTCAATTAAAATTAGGAAAACATAATTATCGTTTTATGTTGGGAAATTCACATGGATAGCATGTTTTAAGGATGCTCTCTCCGCTGCGTTGAATTACAAATGACATTTGTTAAATGTCTAATTTAGCTAAAAACATATTTCTCATGAAATTGCTTAGTGAAAATAGTTGTCTTAATGTATTACTTAATACCTCACCTGTAGCAGTGTAATGTTAAAGAATACATTAAGATGGAAATGATCAGCAGGCCAACTGAACCATGGGTGCAATAAGAGCTTTCTCAAGGCCAAAAAAGGCATTACAATCCATTTTTAATCTTCCCTAATCTATTGCTGGACTGATGATACAACATGAACTATTTTTATCTTATGAGGCATCTTTCCATACTTAGTATTAAGAAAGTTAAAATTATTGGTGCAATAATGAATGTCAGCCCAACGTGTTTGGGAGAGGGCAAGAAAGCACATGATTTAGCCTTTCAAAGAAAAGCAAAATACTAAGCACTGTCCAACATTGCCAGCCTTGAAGCTATTTATTCAGTTTGTGCTTTAGGCATGAATAGTACCAGTTGTTAGGGCAGGAAAAGCGGCAGCCAGAGGAGAATCTTATCAGGTCTTGGCAATTCTTTATTGTATGGTTGCACTTGACACTCAAATTAATGAAACAAAGGACCGACTTGATGAATCATTGCAAGCAGATTATGTGAGTTTCTCCAGGGATCCTTTAAGATGCTATTAGAAGCAGCTCCTGCATTTTTCAGGATTATTCCCCTCCATCTAGCAAGTTGCCCAGTGACTGATAAAACAGTTCTATCATATTTTGCCATGCCAAACAGAAGCATCATATTGATGATTTAAGTTCATGGCGGTATGTTGGACATCTGTTACACTGTACGTCTGACCAATTTCATTAAGCTTATGGGCTTTTCCCCCACTCCTGGGATAGCAGTTAGCTAGTTGCTAAATCTACTTATGCAATGGCCAGGATAAATTTGAAAATGCAATTCAGAACTTGATTTGAAAGATTTCAAGGTTTTGGCTTTTACATATTTGATTAGATTAATGCAGCTGTTTTAGACATTCTGGTTTGAGAACCAAATGGACAAGATATGGTGAGGGAAGCGAGATAAAGAAAACAAGCCACAGAATTTACTTCGATTCGATAAGAATTAATGATCGCCTCTATTTGGTGGTTCTGTATTAGAGAATACAGTGGTGAATAAGACAGACCTTCTCCTGTAAGAGCTCACAACCTAATATGTGTGTGTGTTGAGGGAGGGGGGCATGTGTGCTGAGACAAGTTCATGAATAGGCAATAAAAGACAGAGTACTATAGATTCAACACAAATTTATCAAGCATTTCCTATGTTAAGCACTTACTCTGTTGAGCACCTATTATGTGCCAGGCATTGGGGATGCCTGGATCAATAGACCACATGCTATCCTCACAGTCTGTTACCAGATAAGTGCTTAGAATCTTTCTGTTACAACCTTTAGGAACAATCAACATACTTGATTTGTTTTTCAACTTCTAGATGCCTGCTTATGTATGATCTGAGGGCTTTGTTATTTCAAGGGCATCTAGCTATGTTTATGTACCTTTATGTACAACTTTAAGTTAATCATTTGAATAGCTAGACAGGGTAGAAAATAGGCAGCATTCACAAACACCTGACTGACTTGGAGACGAGTGGACAAGTAGACAAGTCAATGAAACTTTTTTGTTCCTCTAACTTGCACAGTTCAATACAAAGTGAGTTGAGAAATCATAATTTGCTTCTCAAAATCCAGGTAGCTGAGATGGATTTCTCACCATTTAAAATTTTGCCACATTTCTGCCTCTGGTGCCATCACATCCAATCAAATAGCTTCTTCCTTTTGAAAAAGGGGAAAAAAAAGAAAGGAAAAGAAATTGAGTGTTCCACAATGTAGGTTATGTGATAAAATGAAGGTGAGAATTGATGAAACAAGGCATGACATAGGGCGATGAGAGAGCAGGTGGAGTCTGTGCTAAGAGGGAACACCAGCCTATGCTCACACCATGGAAGGCAGCATGAAGCTACCAAAGGAGGAAAAAATCAGACTGCTGGAAATCCATGAGCTCTGCCCACGATTCCTAAAATTCCTAAGTGATTTCTCAATTTAGAAACAAATGTTTCAAACATTTCAAAGATGGATAAAAACCAGAAAACAACATAATGAACTGCATTTGAGATACAATTGCTTTCCAGATTATGATCTCAAAGAAAAAGAAGATAGTTTCACTACATGTAATAAGAGCAAAAATTTGAATAATGGCCGAAGCTCCCCAAGGAACAAATTTGATGTTTGTCCATTTGTGTTTTCAGTTCCCTTCACTCTCTTCATTATACAGGTTAAGCCTAGCAGGTCCATCTGTTCAGAAGGACCCTCTGGAACCAGGCTATCAAGACCCAGATTCTGATTTTACCATTTTCAGCTCTGTGACCTAGGGTATGTTACTTAGTAGGGATTTAGTTTTCACATCTGCAAAATAGAACCCACCTCAACACATTGTTGTGAAGATTAAACGAGATACTACAAATGAAATATCTTGAGGAACACTAATATCTTGTTAATAGTATTTTATAGTTAGGATTAATAAACTGAACTTGAAGGCAAAACACCAGAGCTTGACTTTTACTTCTAATTGCTACATGACCTTGAGCAAGGGACTTAAAATGTATTCAGCAGACTGTCAACATATCTATAAAATAGATATAATAAAGCCCATGCCACAAATCGTTAGAGGGCTTATTAAGATATTGTGTATGTGACTGCTTTGTAAACTGTGAAGCTCTGCATAAACTAAGGTAATAGTAACTCATTCATTCATTCAACAAATTTCAGTTGAGCATCTACTGTGTGCCAGGTATTATTCTAGGCTGTGGAGATATGAATAAGACACACAGACACTGCCTCATCAGGTTTCTATTTAAGCAAGGATGATAAACTAATACAATAGGGCCAGGAATGGTGGTTCATGCCTATAATCCCAACACTTTGGGAAGCCAAGGTGGGAGGATTGTTCAAGCCCAGGAGTTCAAGACCAGCCTGGGCAACATGGCAAGAACCCTGTTTCTACAAAAAAAATACAAACATTAGCTCAGCAGGGTGGTACATGCCTGTAGTCCCAGCTCCTTGGGAGGTTGAGGTGAGAGGGTTGCTTGAGCCTAGGAGGTCAAGGTTGAAGTCAGACATGATTGTGCCACTGCACTCCAGCCTGGCTATCAGAGCAAGACCCGTGTCAAGAAAAAAAAGAATGTCAGATGCTAGGAAGAAAAGCAGAGGAAGCAGTCAGAGATTGAAGTGTGGGTGTTGTTTTAGCTAGGATGGCAACAATGTAGCAGATAAATGAGTGAAGTGAGGTAGTGAGCCATGAGGCTGTCTGGAGGAAGGTCATTCCATGCAAAGGGAACATCATGTGCAAAGACCATGAGTTAAGAGAGAGCTTGCTTGGCACGTTGAAGAGATAACAACGGGGCCAGTGAGGCTGGAATGAATGGAACCAGAGAGTGGCAGAGGAGGGCGGCAGAGAGGCAGTCTGGAGCCAGATTACCTAGGACCTCATCGGTCATGAAACATTGTAAAGGAAACCCATTGGAGCATTTAAGGCAGGTGAAGATTCTGGATCTGTAATGCCTTGGAAAGATCACCTGACTGCTGTGCTGAGAACAGCTTTTGGGGAAGGGAGAGTGGAAACAGGGAGACCAGTTAGGCTATTGCAATGGTCTACATGAAAGGAGGTCATAGGACTCTTACAAGTGACTGAATTCAAGATTTGCGGATTACTGGGTATGAGATACTGTAATAGAAGCAGAGAGGTGGCAAGGACAATTGTGAAGCTTTTGGACTGGGCAGCTGGAGACTGGAGCTGCTATTTCCAATGTGGGGAACGCTGTGCGAGAAGCAGGTTTAGGGGGCTGCGGATGGAGACTTTGGTTGTAGACACCATCAGTGTGAGAGGTCACAGGCAGCTGCAGTTCAGCATGATGGTGGACTTAGAGACGTGAACTGAGCATCAGAAGTCGGAGTGGATGAGATCACCTACGAATGAGCCGCAGAAGAGAAGAGATCACAAGCCTGAGCCTTGAGAGTTGCAAATTTCAGTTGCCAGGAAAAGGAGGAATCTTAGTAAGCACAGTACTGAGAAACAGTAAATGACTATCAGAACTTGATTTGATTTAGGTGGCTCATGGTTTTCACTTTTAATGGATTTTGCCATGCCAACAGTTAGTCATTTATGTTCTCAAAGGACTTTTCAAATTTTATTATGACACCGAGCATATTTAATCATATCTATTT